ACCAGCTTTGCTTGCACGGGGAAAGGAAAGCCACCTCGCCGCAGATCGAGTCCAGCTTCTCAGTTACTTCGACGTCTCGCAGCGAGCCCCGCTTGTATCAAAGATCCTACCAGCTTTGCTTGCACGGGCAAGGGAAGCCCACCTCGCCGCAGATCAAGTCGCGAGGTAGACCGTCGCGAAAACAGCCCACACGCCGGACTCTTGGCTCGCGCCACCGACTGCTCTTCGCCGTTTCCCGACCCCTCGTGCTATGGCGTGCAAAGTCCGCCTCGTATACGGTCCACGAAAGAGGCAAACTCTGTCCCGACGATGACACCAATCGAGCGACGCGTCGAGCAGGTTGTTGCGCGTGCAGCACCGTCGGTCCGCGAGAAAGATCACTCTCGCCGTGATGGTGAGTCTGTTACGCTTCCAAATTAGACGCAGTGAACGTGAGTCGAGACTGGGAGGGATTGCAGGCATGAAGTTGTGCTGACGTGGTGCCGTTTATCTGTGCTGCAATGACCTAGAATCTGGCTGCCCGGGAACTCCCGTTGGGTACGGCTGCCCAGGACTGCCAAAGTACACACAGCCAGATCCAAAAAATCCCGGCGTTCCTCCTTGAGGTAAATGTCTCGAGCGACGACCGTCTTGCAAGCGGGAGGCCGTACGACGATCGAATAGATATGATTTGCGCCGCTTGTCTTGACGGCTGAGCGATTCGCGATTATGGACCTTCGATGGCGGTTGCAAGGAGTGCAGATGCGAGCTTCCGAGCAGCACGTCGGGCCCTTTTGCGCCCATTTCGCACCTGTGCCACACGTATCAAGCGTTTGCCCACGACTCTTGAGCATACACGCGCTCTCAGGCGTGCGTGTATGCACTCGATCGAGCGGCCCCCCAGCATCGGGCCCGCCTATCTTTTGTTCTTGAATCCTTTGACTTGCTGTGACCGCTTCAACGAGAGGCGAAAGCGGCACGCAGAATGAGGTCATGGCAGCGTAGACGGTGGAGCGAGATCGAATGTCACGAGCGCAGCGCGAGGAACAGCATGTCGAGGAGCATGCGTCGACGTCGATGCAAGCCTCTACGTTTCCGCACGCTCTGCTCGAAGTTTGCACCTGAATGCTCGTCGTCGGTCGCATTGCTTTGGCTTCTCGAGACGGATGAGTCGCATGCCCGCCTCCCTCGTTCTTGCTCACCATCGCGTCGCTCGCCTCGTCGCGAGACATATTGACCAGGCTATACACACGAGTCGCGCGGACATTGTTCTACATGTCGTCGTCGTGCACACGATGCCATCGATGTTAGTACCACGCTGACTGATGTCTGACTCTTTGATACACGCCGAGCAATTGGATGGCTGTATGCGGGGTAGGGTAGATGCCTGCGTCATGACAAACCTCGACAAGCAAAGCGAACCTAGTCCTGACGCACTCGAGCGACTGAAGGTCGGTTCGAGGGTCGCGTAACTGCAAGGTGGAAGGCACACCCCGAGTGAAGCGTTGTGCGACGGTGCGTGGCACTGCGGGAGCCACGATCTGATGATAGGCACGAGCTCAAGCTCGAGTCACAGCATAAGGACAGACAAGAAGTATCGCGCGACGCACGGCACAAGTCTGATCCTTTGCTTCGAGCGATACCTCGGGCGAGCTTTCGACCGCGCCTCGCCCAAATGGTTCAATCTAGCCTAGCCGCGAGCCTCGGCGCATCGCTCGCGGTCACCCTCGCCCAGAGAGCTGAAATGAGCGCGGGCGCGAACCTGCGTGCGAGCCTAGCCGCGCATCTTGGCGGATCGCTCACGGTCACCCTCGCCCAGAGAGTTGAACTGAGCGTGGGCGCGAACCTGCGCGCGAGCCTAGCCGCGGACCTTGGCGCGTAAATTGACGCGTACCGCGACGCGAGCCTTCCGTCGAGCCTCGACGGATGCCTCGAGGGATGCCTCGAAGGAAGCCTCAACACGTGACTTCCGTCGTACCTCAGCGCTTGCCTCCCGCCATGCTTTGATGCGTGCCTTCCGCTGAGCCTCGCGCCGATGTTTCAGCCGATGCATCAGCAGATGATTCGGCCGAACCCTCGAGCGACCTATCGGTCGAAGCTTGGATGGACCCATCGGTCGAACCATCGGTCGAAGCTTGGATGGACCCATCGAGCGACCCATCGAGCGACCCATCGGCCGAACCTGCGAGCGAAGGTTTTTGGGTTAGGGTTAGGGTTAGGGTTAGGGTTAGGGTTAGGGTTAGGGTTAGGGTTAGGGTTAGGGTTAGGGTTAGGGTTAGGGTTAGGGTTAGGGTT